TGTTCAAGTGTTTTGCAATTCAAATGATCAAGAAAAAGGAACCCTACACACAGTCAAGCAACCATCCAAGACTTTAGAGTTCAGACATCATAGAGCTACGTTTCTATGGCCCAAGATTGTAAACATAAAGTTAATTTATGAAAGATGGGAAATTACCAAAGATGGAGTTATGAATATATTATTATGAAAAAGACTAATCAGAAAGAAAAAGAGAGGGCATCCAAAAGAAATGAATGTGATTGCACAGGGAGTGCTCTGGTGAGTTTGGCTTTTAAAAGGATATATACAAAAGATGGAAGAAACAGCATATAATGAAGACCAGACAGAATATCACAACATGTAAGAATAGTATTCATAAGGCTGTGCTATACTGTCATTTTATAGATAAATAACTTTAACTCACTCTCTATGTCTCTGTAAGCCCAAAGATCATGAATTCAAATTCCCATTAAGTGATATTTATATCAGAAAAATATTTTCCTTTAGAAAAAGTTTTATTAGAAAACTTTGAGTGATAGAGCAAATCAAGGCCTGTTCTTAACCAAATCAAGTCCTCTGTATGAGGACTTCTATATGAATGAATCTAATTTAACTACTACATTAATAATATATGAATAATATTAATAATAACAAATGCTGTATTAGTAATGAATATAATCTAAGTGAATATATATTCATTCATTACAAAAAATTTTAAGTGACTCATTTGTTCCATGTATTACTATTTTTTAACTAGTACTTAATGTAGAATGACACATATGACAAAATCATTTATGAGTTAAACTACTGATTATAGTATATTCTCTGACCAGTACATGTGATGTTCACTCCAAATTGTATTATGACTTACAATGGCCACTTTCTGTAGACTAGGCTTTCATAGAGCCAGCAATCAGCCTGCTAAAGCAATCTACTCCATTATGTTGCTATTTGCTAAACCTGGCAACTGGCCTTGCAAATACGCTTTAAAAGAAAGTTTTATTGAAGCTCTTTTAAAAAAAACTCCTCACTGCCCTTTGACTCTTCTGCCTTGCCTCCACCAACTCCTGCTTCAGCAGACCCTACCCTTGTAACAAGTAAGTATAGTCAAGAAAAACTCATTAAAACATTGACCATGTCTAAAAAGAGGGGAAGAGATTTACTCAAGATCCATCATGTTTGTGGCAAAACCAATATTAGAGTAACCACATCCTTTGACTCATCCTGTGGAGCTTTCCAAATCAATTATTCAGTTTTGTTAAAGACAGCTTAAGCAATAGCATCCTCAGGATACTTCTACAAACAGCTCAGTGGGTAGATAACTGGACCTGGAACCAAGAGGACCTGAGTCAAAAATCACCCTCCAGTCACGTAGGAGGTGTATGACCCTGGGCAAGTCACTTAACTATTATCTGCCTTAGTTTCTTCGTGTGTAAAATTGAGCTAACCATGACACATATCTCAGGGTTGTTGGAGGGATAAAATGAGATAATATTTTAAAGTGTTTTGCAAACCTTCCAGCTATAAATACTAGCTATTATTATTAGCTAAATGTTGACCCGTAAAAACATTTCACAAATTGATCAAGACTGAATTTAGAGTAGCTGTAGGATTGGCATCTACCTCATAGAGAAATCTAAATTTAACAAACCTTTATTAAACAATTACTAAAGGGTAGGCATTGTAGGTGATACAATTCCTACTCTTAAGGAGCATACTCTCTAATTAATAGAGTAATTGCTATCATAAGTCTCCAATTTCCTTCTCTTTCTGATTTCCGTAGAAGTTACTTTGAGTAGAATTTCTTTTTCTTAGGCTGCCAACTCTTCTTGTCATTTTCAACCCCTAGTCATGGCCTTTTCTGATTTTTCCTGTCATTATCAGTGATTTTTTTTTTCAAAAATCACCCAAGTCCGCAGAGTTTACCTAACAATCTTAAAATAAAATCTAATTTGATCATAGTTTTGTCAGTTCACTGCCAACAGAAACATTTTAGGTCATATATATGATCCAAGAAAAAGTTTGGTGGCTCCAGAATAGTAAAAAGAATCAGTTATAACTGGAAAAAAGTGTATTATATTCACTGTCTTTCCCCAGCTCAGTAGACACAGATGCATTTTCTAGCCTCTTCTCTCATCATTTACTCTTAAACATCTGGGGAACCTCAAGCCCCAAATCTTGATTTTATTCCAGTCCACAAGAACATAGTATACTACCTAACTCGGTTGTACTTCAGAGAATAATTTGCTCCTTACTGGACTACTGTAACTATTCCATTCAGAGAAAGTCCCTAAGAATGTTGTGGATAAGAGCACCTGAAAGATACTAAACACTAGTTATTCAGATAATAAAAAGTCAACATATAAAGGTAGAAGGAGATAACTTGCTTTAAGGTCAAGTGACAATTAGATCTAACAAACAATACATGTGTACACTACTCATCTGGATACCTGCAGATAGGTGCTATTTATTTTTAAAATTTATTTATACTTCTTTTTGCTTTCATATCTTTCTTGTGCCCTCACTCACTTTATCTCAACTTCACTCTATTATCATCTCTGTGTGTGTGTGTGTGTGTGTGTGTGTGTGTGTGTGTATGTGTGAAGACAGAGAGAGACAGAGATAGAGAGAGTACCCACTGGATTTGGAGACAGCACTTAGGTTTGAATCCTGCCTGTAAAATTCAGCATGGAAGATAAGACAGAGTGAGTACTGATTTTAGAATGAGAAAGACCCAAATTGTTCATATCCCACCTCTCAAAGGCTGTGTCTGTGTGTTTATGTATATATGAATTTAATGTATAAATATAGATATAGTCCTTCTTTTCCCAACTTATCTTTCTCTTCCTGTTATGATAATATGGAATTTCATGGTAGTTGTGAAGTAAAGTCTGATGAATAAAGTCTTAATCTCTAAAGCAAATGCATTGGATGTGGTAGGTCACGACATACCTCTACTGATATAAATTACAATGCACGCCCAATTTCTCTTCCTATCCTTGTCCATATCCTTCCGTAAGATCGTAGATTTAGAAATAGAAGACACGATGAAAGTCATTTAGTCTAATCCTCTTGTTTTACAGATTTGTAAAGAGTCCAATAGAGTTCAAGTGACTTTCCCAGAGTCACACAGTAATAAAATAACCATCATTCATAGAGTGCTTTAAGGTTTGCAAAATATTTTAGATACCTTATTTCAAGTGAGCCTTACAGCAACCCTATGAAAGTATTGATGGTATTATCATCTCTCTTTTAGAGATAAAGAAACAGCTTAGAGCTATTATGTAACTAACCAGTGTCAGAGGTGTGATCAGAACCCATCTTTTTTCCTCCAAATCCTAAAGGCATACTGCCTTTCCTAGAGAAATTATTGGATGGATACCAGTGCAGTACACATCCTGTCCATGTGTTATTCCTTTCTCTCATTGTATGACTAGCTCCTCTTTCTTTTTTATAGAAAACTCTATAGACTTTGAGGTAAATGGCTATGTCACCCCAGTCGGTTGATAATAGTACAAGATGACACTTAAAAAAAAAAGTTCTAAGCAACAGGCAATGGAGAGCTCTAGACTGGGGATCTGGGGTGAAGGGTAGGGGTAGGTTGATTCTTTTTTTTTTTTTTAGGCAATTGGGATTAAGTGACTTGCCCAAGGCCACACAGCTAGTAAGTGTCAAGTGTTTGGTCTGAGCCCGAATTTGAACTCAGGTCCTCCTGACTTCAGGGCCGGTGCTCTATCTACTGTACCACCTAGCTGCCCCCTGGTTGATTCCATTATAAACTAGCTATGTGACCCAGGGCAAACCACTTCTCTCAAGACTTCAGTTTCCTTACTCATAATTTTATGAAGTTGGACGAGATCATTGCTAAGGTCCCTTTTACATTCAGCATTCTATGATTTTGAGATAAATCACTTGGAGATTGAGACCATTCCATGTGACAGCAGCATTGGTTTATGTTAGAGGAGGCCAACCTCAACACTCATACTTTCCCAGAAAAGCAGAAAATATAGTAGTCTTTCATTCTCAGGATGCTTGGTATCCAGATGACATGGATTTTGAATGTATAGCATGTAATGGCAGGACTTTTAAAAATGAGCACTGAAAATTATATAGAAAATGGGGAGAAAAATGGTATAGACCACTCTCTCCTGCAAAGAAATTGGATACTTTGAGATTTCTTTTCCTTTTTTGCTAAGGCCAGATGTTATTAGATTTATGTTATCTATAGTAATACGGACCAGGGATTTCATCATTCTTACTAATGTCTTTCTTATGGATTTATTCAAGTCCCTGCTCTCATACCTTGACCTTCTTTCTTTATATAAACATATGCCTGATTTCCCTTTGCTTATCTGCTTATCCAAAATGCTGATAGACTCTATGGTATATGGGATTTGGAAAATAATAATGATAATAATGGTAATAGTAACTATTATTCAATGTATATTTACGTATAAACAATAGTCTATTATAAAAATAACACTTATATAGTAGTAAATAAGTATGTTATTTACATACATTATACAAGTACAATAGTAGAGGCTGTTACTCTTGATTAGTACTTTGATACTCGATGGATCCATGATCTCAGTGACATGGGAATTCTTCCTACAGGTGCCAGTTACAACCCATTTACATGCTCCTCGTCCTATATGATTCTTGTTTATGTTTTTCCTTACACAGATTGTTTCATTTAAACCCTAAAACAATTCAGTGAGGTAGGTGCTGTTATTATCTGTATTTTAAAGATGAGGAAGCTGAGGCTGTGAATAGTTAAGTGACTTGCCCAGATTTCCCACAGCTAGTAAATAACTGAGACAGAATTCCACCTCTGGTCCACCTAACTCTTAGCTCAGCACTCATTTCAACTATGCCACTTAGCTGCTGATACTTAAAGGATTCCCATGAAGTTGCCAGAGTTCCCCAGGGAAAGATTGTGAATCCAAGATGTTCCCTTTCTGTGGCATTCCTTAAGAGCAGATCTGGGATTTTCTTCATTTTATTTGTGTCCTGTCTTGCAGTGCTCTGCAGAATGCGGTGTTGGAGTGAGAACACGTTCAGTGGTGTGCATGACCAACCATGTTAGCAGTCTGCCCTTAGAGGGCTGTGGCAACAACAGACCAGCAGAAGTTACCCCCTGTGACAACGGGCCCTGTGCTGGCAAAGTGGAGTGGTTTGCTGGGAGCTGGAGTCAGGTGAGTGCATCCTTCTGGTATCTTATTTGGCATATTTCAAAAGTCACTCCTGTCCACATAGACCAATCCATATTGGAAATAAAGAAGGAAAAACCTGAGGTCATTTTGATGAAAAGAACAAATAACATTGAGAAAATAATGGCATCGTCATTTATTAAGTCCTTAGTATGCCCTGGAAAATGAATCTATTCTTGTGTTATTAGGATTCTTATTATTAGCAATCTAAGTTCTTGGAAGCACAGATGATGGATGCCAAGAGGGGACAACAAAACCTATTTTAAAGTGGTAGAGTTGGAGGGAGGTAATATGTTTAATTGTGAAATAGGAGCCAAGAGAAAGGTCACACTTGTCTTTCTGGAGGCGAATAGCTTATTTAAAATGTTGTTCTTTGGGGGGTCAATGAAGAGTTAAAAGAAATTGTGGTGTCCCTGTTGACCTAAGATGCTGGGGGTTCTGCAAGGGGAGCAGGTAAAGGGTAGGATAGTTGGAAAAGGAGTTATCAGAGGACATCTCACTCACATTATAGAAGAACAAGGCTATATTTCAGCCCCATCACCAAATAGAATCAGCTTTGCTGTCGGCAAAGAAGTAGGGGAGGTCTCAGTAGTACCATTTAATAGGACAGGGAGTTGCTGGCTAGCATCTCTGTGGCTCTTACATCTAAGAGAAATGACTAGGAAATTCCAAGTGTGTTGGCAGCAACTAGGAAGGGAAGATGGAGTCTTCTTCTTGACTAAGACATGCAAGGGAGTTTTGAAAAAAGTGAAGGGAGAGAGAAAATAAGAGAAAGGAAGAAAGGAGGCAGAGGGAGAAGAAAAAGGGGGTAAATGGAAGGAGAGGAAAAATCCAAAATCTTAGAGCTTCTGGAGTTATCAGAAGAGGAAGGATGGAGTTCCCTCATCCCAGGCAGCCAACCATGCATCTCCTCTCTCTTCCCTGAGCATGATTCTTGACTAGATGACCATTTCTATGTCTCATAGTAGTTGGAAGTTAATGTGCAGAACACAATGTTCCTAAAACATTCTAAGAATTAAGAAAGATAGAGATGTCCCCAAAGTTTTCACCAATCAGGAGATGCCTTAGCACTATTCAGAACTGGTGGTTTAACCAAGTAGTAAATGCTTTTTTAGGAAAAAAAATAATGATTAGCCAATAGCTATGATACCTCCAACAGCCTGTAGCACCAAGAAATGATCCAATAGGATTCAAGCCTTATAGCAAAGCAAAACATTAAAGACTGACCAATCACAACAGGGAAGTTAAATCCTAAAATACCTGGGTTTCATAAACACAAAGAGAAACAAGCCCAGGGATGCAAAGTGGAGCCAGAGATGAAACAATTCAAAACCAGCCTGTCAACAGATTTCATGGACCTCCCTTCTTGGCCAATGCTGGGTAGATACCCTACACAGCTCTGCTCTCATCAGCTATTCCTCTCTGTCACTTCCCTCCTCCCCTGCTGTATCCCCAACTACTATATTTGGGAGGAAAAATGCATCAAATCAGCAACATTTCATAGAATGAATTGACTTTCTATCCTCTAGCCTTTGCTATTCTCTGCAAACATCTCTGGCTTTTGTGGAGATTCAATAAAAAACAGGAGTTAGTATTAGACAAGGAAGTTTGGAACAGAGGCAAAGAGGTTTAGCATAGCACCAATGAAAAATCAATCAGTAATTTGGAGGGTTTCCTGTATTTAAATGAATGAATAATTTGTTACTGTTTAATTTACTTATTGCTTGTATTGCTCATTTGAACACTTAATCATATATTGCTTTTCAAGCCTTACTATATATTACTCTTTTTAATTCATTCCACAATGCAGTTGAACTGACCTTGTTGCTGTTCCTCTACACAATAAATAATACATTTCCCATCTCAGCTCCATTGCACCGGCTACCTGCATGAATGGAATGCAACCTCCTTATCATCTCCATCTATTAGAATTCCTAATTAACTTCAAAACTCAGCTCAAACATCACCTTCTACTTGAAACTTTCCTGACCCCCCCATCCCAGTTTCCCTTCAAAAATTGTATAATTCTTATTTTGAATATACCTTTATATGTATACACATGTTGTCTACCCCAATAGAATTTAAGCCCCTTGAGAGCAGGGACTTTCATTTTTACCTTTGTATACCCAATGCCTAGCACAGTACCTGGCTATAATTGCTGTTTCATAAATGCTTGTCAACTGATAATTACTTTGCTATCCTGTGTGTGCTTCTCCCAGCTCCTTGAGGATGGGGACTATAGTCTATATTTCTTTTGAATCTCTCATAGTCCCTAGCATAGGTCTGGATTCAAAGTAAACTTCATTGTTGCAGATATTTCCTCCTCTAAACTTTCTGTGCCATGGTTCACAATGTTCCTGAGGCCAATAAAGCTGATGGCAAAGCCCTTGATAATGGATGTCTGAGAGCTCGGCCTGTTTAGCCCTAGGACTCGCAGATGCAGAGTTCATTGTTGAGCCTTCCCTCAAAGCTTTTCCAGGTTGGCAGACTCGGCCTTCAACAGCCGGCCCTCTTTTGGGGCAGCCTTTGAGGATGCAGGGTCACTTCCATACCACAAGAAGGCACCGGAGTGTAAGGGTAGAGATGCTATAGATCCTCACCAAATGGTTGTGGCATGGAAAGAATAAATGGAACCTCTGAGTACACGAGGGTTTTCCAGGACAGTGACAAGTAGATACTATTAAAAGAAGCCATTGTCTCTGCCCAATTAGGCTTCCTTCAGAAATACCAGCAGTAAAAGTGATCTGACCCTGAACTCCACAGTTCTCCTCATGTGTTTCAAGCAAACCTAAAGTTAAGTAAAAGTAATTATCTTCAACAAAGGAACATCCCATCAGGACCAGCATCCATTTGCAGAAACCTTTTACAAGAAAGTAATGCATGATGAAATGTGGCATTTATCTTCCTCCACCTGAGCCATTCAGAAATGCTCCCGTAAGTGAAAGGGACAAGCCTCAAACAGATTTTATTCTATTGAAAATCAACACCAAGGAGCAGCAGCCACAGACATTCAGCTCAAATGTACATTTTCAGAAGCATAAATGAAACAACGCATTATCTAGGAGCCATAAATGGTTCTGTTTATTGCCAGGGCATCCCAGGGCATAATAGTAAGGTCACTGAAGTTTGTCTCAGACATGCCTCATCTGTCCATTCTTCACCCTTTTTCTGTTCCCCTCTTCAAGGGGCCATTGCCCTCAGTCCAAACTGCCTCTTCTGGTTGGGAGGAATCCAATAAACACAGTGATTTAATGTGCCGCCTTTCCCAGGGACTTGCATTTTGAATTAGGATACCTGAAGACTGCAGTGTTTGGACCTAAAGAATGACTTTCCAATGGTGGAATTTCAAGGACAGTGACAATCAGGAAGTGTAGGGAGTGGGAGTGACGTCAAATGTGGAATGCAAATCACAGAACACAAACAAACACATATACTGCTAAAGCAAATGCCATTATGGATTGATAAAAAGCCTACATAAGCCTTCACTGGTGAAAGTCACACTTAGGAACTACGTTTTTAAGTGGGTGAGAGACAAGGACAGGGACAAAAGATTTTCCTTTTCCATATTCTCCAAGTCATCATTACTTCAAAAATGAAACAGTATAAATTATATCTACCTATGATTGTGTCTATATCTATCTATATGTCCATATCCATGGCAGCTAGGTGATTCAGGGGATACAGAACTGGACTTGGAATCAAGAAGACATGAGTTCAAATCTAGCCTTTCAGCCTCAGACCCTGAATCACCTGAATCAGTGATCCTGGACAAGTCATTTAGTCAATCTACCTCTGTTTCCTCACCTTTAATATGGGGATAATGATAACACCTTAAGAAGTTGTTTGCTCGGGGTCATATAGCTAGTTAATGTTTGATGCAGAACTCAAAATCAAGTCCAGCACTCAATCCACTGTACTACTTAGTTGTTTCAACAGAGATGAAAGAAAACATACTTCTTTACTAAAAGGCTAGGGTTTAAATTTATCTGAATTCAGAGTTAGTGTCAGCTGCCTTAGCACATTGTCATAACTGACGCAAATCACAATTGAATTCCTCCTAATCTAATGTTGTGTGGCAAAACCCAGTTTCTGTGGTAAGATAGGGCCAGAATGATTTTGACAAGTTATCTCCAAGGGGATTCCATTATGGAATCAATACCTATGATGGCTGGAGGACTGGATGTGCTTGCTGCATGAAGCACATTTCTCTTTTCCTACCTTGTGAACATCATCTAACACATGGAAGCATTTCCACACTGCAGACTATTTAGGGGAGGGGAGAGAAGGGACCATATTTGTCAAAATATGCTTGTCTCCAAATGAATCTAAGGTAACTAAAATATGTTGGTGTGTCAGAAATTTCTTGAAGACTTAAAAAAAAAACTTTATGGTATGGAGAGTGCAAACAGCTCTGTGAAGTCCAGAAGGGTTCCTTCATCTGTTGCTGTTGCCCTAACATCATCATCATAAAAGACTTCCCAAGAAATAACTTTAAATGACCATATGTTGCTAGAAACTTCATGTAAAAAGGAAGAAAAATTCCCACGAGCATCATTTGTAGACTAGGTGATACCTAAAGCCGAGAAAAAATCTACCAAGTTTTTGTGAGAACAATCTCTGGCATAACACTATTCATGATAGAAAACAAATTTCAATGGAAAAGATTTTGAAATACCAAAAAAAAAGTATGCCATCTGTTCACCAGACATTCCTTTACCAAAACTCCTCTAGAGGTAAAAGGTGAGTGAGAAATGGCATCTACTCAAAGTAGAATTGATATGATACTATGGCTTGCACTACTTTGAGATGGATATACAGACGTCCACGGAGGAAGTACTCACTGAGTTTATGATTATACTACATCAACCAGGTTTTTGGGGGGGCTTGTTTTTTCACAGGCATCAAAGCAAGATTGAACAAGTACCTGAAGAGTATAAGGACAGGTGTTGGCCCTGTGATTTCATTAGTGCAAGGAACATCCAGGT